TTACACAGGATTATAATAAATCACATTTCTGATTTTAATCATCATCTAAGACTTTCTCATTATACTTACAACTTCCCTTAAAGTTCCCAGGGCCTTTCTCACAATTAGAGCGTTATGATTCCACTATGAATCCTGATCATTGTAGTTCGGTGAGGAGGCGCTCCCTCATTAAGCATTCTAAATGCCCCTTCCTAAACTTCCAGTCCCAGGATTGCACAGAATTAAAGTGGAATCATAGTGCTATAACTGTGCCATGTGAAAGGGTCCTTAGTCACCTTTGTATATGCAAGGCAAAACAGGCAAATCAGACACCAACTACCTTAACTTATGAAATGGTCAATAGTTCAGGAAGAAAAGGTGTAGAGGGAAAAAACTTGAATCAACCACTTCAGACCCAGAAATAGAATTCAACTCAGGCCCAATGGAAATGGCCATGTGACACCACTTCATTTTTAATCTGAATGACAAATAAACACCAGAGTAATAATGGAGATTGTAGCATTTGGAATAAGTTAGAAGATAGTATTGCAGGTTCTTCGCTGAGTTTTGGTTCCAAGACCCCCAATGAATGCTAAATCTAAGGATCCTGAAGTCCCACTGTATACAGTGGCATAGTAAAATGGTATATATTAGGCTTGGGTAGGTACAGTCGTTATCTTCTTAAATCATTATGATTTCATTAAAAATTACATTTTGAAGCGATATTGATCCGCGTTAGCAAACCAGAAGTGTATTTGCCCTTTCGAAACCGTGGCCGCCATCTTTCGTAAGGGTACAGGAAGCGGATTGTAAATGACTCAACAGGTATTTGCATGCTGGGATGCTTGGGTGGGTCTACACTGTGTCCAGCGAATAAAGAGACACCATTTGTGGAGGGGCGTGGTTTTTACAGGGCAGCCATTGCCCTTTAAAAGGGGCCGCACGTGCCTCGTGACTCCATTGCGAGACAGGACGCGAAGGGAAGAAGGTCTGCTCCGTGCTGCAGCTGTTGTAGGGCCAGGCTGCCTTGGGTGGTGCAACGCCACCAGTCAACTCAGCAGCCATCAGGGCTGGGAAGGGCTTTTTGCTAAAAAGCTTTACATTTGGGGGGGGGGGGGGGGGTTGGAAATCAGAATTGCTGCTTTATTTCTATATTGGTTCTGGAAATGGGGCTTTTCTACTCCTTTTTTGGCTTTTAGAATCCAGAAATTGCGCTTTACTTTTTAAAATTATTTTTGGAAACTAGAAATGGGTCTTTAATTAATAATTATTTCTTGACTTTGGAAACTAGAAATGGGGCTTTAGACAAACGTCTGTACTTTTTACCTGGGGGAATAAAAGGGTCCCCTTTCTGTGTTGCATGCCTGAGCCTCCTGTTGAAATTTGGGCAAAGGGAGCTTTATCTAAAGAAAGACAAACACAGTTGGGAGTCTGTGTGTGTGTGTACTTCTCTTTACCTGTGGATGTTGCTGGTATCTTGGAGAAAGAAATTACACAAACATAAAAACCTTCTCCAAAATTGGCCAAAACACACCATCAAACAAAAACATTTGGTCTGTGGTTTCCCCTTTATGTGTTGCCAGCCTCCTCTTCCTAGGGCAAAATCCCAAGCCTTTCTTGCCAAATTGGACAAACTTGTGTCTCTTGTGGCCCTGCCCAAACTAGGAATCCCAAACTAAGCCCTCCTTGCCCTATTATATTGGACAAACTCTACGCCTGGGGTTTGCTCCTCCAGAAGCTGTGGCCTCCGGTCGGACCTTGTCCAAACTAAGAATCCCAAACTAAGCCTTCCTTGCCCTATTGTACTGGACAAACTCTATTTATTTATGTTATTTTATTTAATAATTATATTTAATAATTTAATATTTTAATATTTAATAATTTAATAATAATTTAATAATATTTAATATTTAATAATATTTAATAATTTAATAATAATTTAATAAATTCAGTAACTATATTTTTATTTATTTATATTAATTTAATTTACTGTAATTTAATTTAATTTTAGTTGGTACAAAAGGGAAGCTCCAGAAGTTTCCCCTGTCCTGTTAGCAGGTTTTTCGTGTATTGCGCAATCGCGTCCGCCATTAATGAAGCAATTCGGATATTTCCAAAATTTCGGATTAAATCCAAAAAAATTATTTGGAAATTTTGTAAATCCTTTCAGATACGAAACGCCAGCAAAACGAGTTTAGAAACATTTTTTTCCTTGATCACCCAAGCCTAGTATATATAAAACAACAACATGTAGGTTTGCTTTTAGAATGTGTGTGTGTGTGTGAAAAGTTGAATCAATGGATACAGAATCTGTGGCTATGGAATATCAACTGTCATTAAACCCCTGTTGTCAACCACCTCGTGCATAAATGTGCACCATCTTTGAAATGTTTAGAAATCACTATGTCTCTCAAATAATTTGGAGTCCCTCAAGTCTTCTTTGCAATCAACCCCCTCGCAACTAATCCCTTTATACACAGAAAATAATAATCTATATCTGCTTCTCACCAAAAACACAATATTCTTTCTCAATATCAATGTCTACAGCTATGCTAAATCCCATAGAAATGTTGCTGTTCTTAGTGCTGAATGTTTACATTCCAAATAAAGCATTTACAAGGAGTTATGCTGTTTCTCTAATGACTCATGGTCAGGCTAACTTCCTCCTTAGCAATTGTGCAGTTTCTGGAATGGTCCTATAATACTTCACATTTTATGGTTTTCTGTGCTTTTTACCACTGAGAACTTTTTGCAAGCTTTGCAGAATACATTCCAAGCATATGTGTGTGTGTACACAGATGGTGCACCCTCACGTCTGATCTCTGGGGGAAAAAATCCCAAGGCTATTGTGACATCTATTTTCCCTTAATACTTATCTTCTCATATCTTTCCGACACCATTTATTTCAACAAAAATACTCATTAAGATCCTCTAGGCTCATATTCTCAAAGTAAACATAACAAAAATCTTCAACAACACACTTCTAGTTCTCTAGCTCTACGTAAACACCTACACTTTTGGTTAAATGCCCAAACAGCATTCAAACTGTGACCTGCATTTGTGAAATAATCAACATAAATCAAACATTACAAATGCTACAGACCAAGCTTCCATATCACCTCACATTAACTGAAACACACTATAGGCTCACTATTGGCTCAGTTTGTGACTCTCAACATTTGACAGCAAATTGTGATAATATCCCAAATGATGCTGGTTTTCAACAATATTGGTGTTTTTCAACCACACTGAATCAAAATCATTATTCCATCCGTAACTGGATTAAAATTGTTTTAAAACAAATCATTTGTTTAAAACAGTCCTTTCCCAGATGAATAATCAGTTTCTAAAAGAGAATGAAAAATGAGGTGCAAATATCAAATATCAGATGTAGTTGATACCTTTACAGTTCCGTACTCTTCAGCTTCTGTTTTCCTCATCATTTCTCAACTTATCCAGCTCCCCCCCGCCCAAAAAAAATTCCTTGATGCTGCACTTATGGCAGAACTTCCAAAATCACTGCTTTTTAGGAACAAATTCTAGAAAGACTGAATAGCATGCACTGTTCCACAAATATTTTTCTAACATTATCATGACTTTTAGAATTGACCTTCATAAAGAACAGTGATCTTGATGTTTTCTTTAATAAGAATTTTGCGAGTAGCTTTACTCAGAATGTGTGGAATTCACAAGGCTGAAGTAACATTGACTTCAGAACCTCTGAGGATGCCTGCCATAGATGCAGGTGAAACGTTAGGAGAGAATGCTTCTAGAACATGGCCATACAGCCCAAAAAACCTACAACAACCCAGTGGTTCTGGCCCTGATAATCAGCTCTGTTTGAAGCAAAAAGGCTATTTTCCAGGAAATAATGTGTCTTTCAAATGAAAGATGGTACTCGAATTACTATTATTGGTGCCCTGATAATCAGCTCTGTTTGAAGCAAAAAGGCTAACTAACCACCATTACATCTATTCTTACACTCTGTCTTTTCAGTTTAGAGTGTTTTCATTGGCAGATGACAGACTTGTAACATCAGATGCCTGAAAATGTAAGTGTCCTCCAACAGTGTGTTAAAATAATCTTTCTAAGCAATCCCTCATATAAGGCGTTCAGTCTCCCATATACATTTCTCTAAACAAATGTATTTTGCTCTTCTGTATAATCCTTCTTCCTGGCTTTTAAAATGTGGAAAAATATATTTCCTTTTGCCAAAGCTTCTCTAGTTACTGGAAAGATTTATGAAATAAATAAACATCAGAAGGCAAAAGTCATAAACAGAGTTCTTTCTGGGCCACCTTCTTGCTGACTGCATGAAGGTGAAATAATGCACTCATTTATGAACACTGCAGCCTCAGTCTTATACACAGGCTCTAGGAATAAGAGACAGAATACATGTAATAAATATGTGCAAACTCCCAAAAATAGCCTTCATGAGACGACATTCCCTTTCTGTAGCTGTAATAAGTAACACTGGCACAGAGATTTTCCACCAGGGTGCTAAGTCTACTAGAAGACTGCTCACACTGATGTAGAAATTCTCCATGCCAAAAACCAAAATGGTATAGCGGCCAGTGTTTATATATTAAGAATGATCAAAATCTCCATGCAGCAGAAATCCATCATTAATGTTCTTGCTTTAAATCCCAAGGTGATCCATACAAGGCAGGATTCTAGGGAATCCTGCTTTGTATGGATCACCATTTTATGTGCCACCTCTCACCTCTGTTGAGTTAATTGAAAATAAGTAAATTACTTTTGCATTTTGGACTCACTTTGTGCCATTTGAGGCAAACTGAAAATAAAGTGTAAAGTTGGATAAACAGATCTGGGATATTTTAGTATCAAATGAACAAGTGGGAGTACAGAGGGATCATCCCTGCCTCAACAATCCTCTACCTAAGAAATATGGTTAGAATTATACAAGACACAGCACAACACAGTGAGATGGATCTTCTATCATTTTCAGCTTTCACCATATTCTGTTCCACAAAGAATATACTTCAATGCCTGACATTTACCTCAAAGACTTCCTCATCGAGAATCCTTGTTCCAAAGACAGTGATGCCATTGGTGTCAATGATTGCTTTGTCACTCCTCTCAAGTGGTTTTGTGGCTTTCTTCTTACAGTCCACGATCATGGTAACAGATTTCTTCTCCACACTTATGGCTACCCGATGCCACCTAATGCAAGAAGAAAATTATGGAGGTTTTTTAGGGTAAAGCACATTTTTTCGTAAACCACACTCCCAAATATCAAGTATTTTCATATTCACAAAATTATATTCATTTAAAAGATTAATACCCCACCATTTTTAAGTTAAAATCTGCTGACTCTCTGCAACAATTCTAACTTCTGCTAAGCAGTGTGCCTTTTGTGGGATCCTCAAGAACAGGGATTCGGAAAAAATTATTCATGGGCTTCATGAATACCTTTTTATGGTCTCAGAAACACCCTAAATTGAAAAAGGTGTTTGTTTTTAAAAAATGGACAAATGTTCTTTCTATAACCCTCACAAAGGGCAATTTTGTAATGTTAGGGGGATTTTTAGGTATAGGAGAATCATTCTTAAGTCAACAGAAAGTCAATATCTATTCACTTCTTTCTTTTAATAGAGCCCTCTAATGAAACTAGAATTACTTAGAGGAAAATGTAACAGGAACACTACTTCAGGGGTTAGTATACTGAATGTGTAATCAGGACAACTATAACTTTAATACTTAACAAAGTTTTAAGAACTATGCAGTACTATGAAGATCCTCATTTCCAAACCCCAACTTTCAGCATTATTTGTGGTGCAGGCACCTCTGTGCCTCCTCCTACTGCTTTGCACCAATGAGGAGAGAGTCATATTGAGAGGGGATGGTTACAGCTGAAAGTTGAAGCTTGGAAGATGAGACAGAATGAGTATCTTTGTTCTGTTTAATAGGTCTTTCCAATGCCTGGCCCTGCCCAAAAAACTGTTAAACATTAGTTAAAGTAGTCCTGTCCCAGATCCAATGCAGCAAAGCCTCCTCAATAGTGCATGGACAATTCCTTTAAAAAACATAAAAAATTCAATGTAGATATTCCAGTCCATAGAAAATGAGTATGTCCTCTGAAGACATTGGCAATTGCCTAATCCTGATACAAAATGTCCACCTCACAAGTCTTTGCAAACAAAACTCAAGAGTGTTTGAAAAAGTCTTAAACTTTTACATTAATTGTTTGTTTTTCATTGCTGTTGCAATTCTTTGCATATTGTGATGATATAACTTGGTCATAAACCCAATCACTGGGCTTGCAGATACCAGCAGCATAATTGTTCATAAAGAGGTCAGCTGTACATACTCTAGCTCAAGGTCCTGCATTGGGCAGAAGATCTGACGCATTAGCTGATAGGGCACTTTTCAGCTGTATAATTCTAAAACTCTGTGAATCTGTAACATGACAAGACTGCCACACATCAGCAAGATGTGTAAAGTCAGACTACAAAAAAGTGTTTCTGGTAGCTACTCTACCATCCTGGTAACATATACATTTGTTCTGAGAAAAATATGTTCCAACCATGCAGTCCCTGACATTAATAGCCAATTTAGACACCTTACTTCAGCTGTGTTTTTGGCTGCTGCTCTTGTACTTACTTCCCATCAACAATATTGACTGTTCTGAAAAGGGGATAATCTTCAGGTGCAGGCTTTCCATTCTGATCTTCAAACAGGAAGACAGGTGACCGACCAACCTCAACGCCAACTTGCTGAATCCCTTGTTCATTGTAGATAGATAAAAGAAAAGACTGAATTCCCTTCTTAGGCTTTACCGTAAATACTATTGAAAAGTCTGCAGGAAAGTTTCCACCTGATGAAAGAAAAAAACAGAGTCACAAATTTTGCACAGTTATCATATTTCCTCTATTGAAAACAACTATTACAAATTCAAATGCAAAACCATTTATTGATTAAAGGCACTGGGGCATCCTTCCTTTCCATTGTCATATACCATCAAGTGATTTTCAACATACGGCAACCCTAAGATGAAACTATCATAGGATTTACTTGGCATGAATTGTTCGGAGATTTGTTTTTGCCTTTCTATGAGACTGAGGCCCCTTCTACACTGCCCCTGTTTTCTGTTCATCTTGAAGAAAAAAGAATGGAAAATCAAGTTGAAATTAGAGTATCTTAACATCCCAGTGGGATGGTCCTTTGCACAAATTGCATCTCAGCAATGTAAAATTGCCATTAAGCTGGCTTTGCTGGAATTAAATGGGTTTCAAATTAGGTAAGCCCCTCAAAGCCACTGAATGTGAGAGCAGGCTTGACCCAATTATTTTTAAGATTTTAAAGTATTCCTATTTTACGTTTTCTATGCCCTTGGAGATGTTAGTAGAAATTTGATGCACTTACTTTTTTATAAGGCTGCTTTGATTCTTTTATTCTAGAAGTGCATAATCTAAATATTTGATCCAGAATTGAATGATAGTTTACCTTTTTACACCAATGTTGTCTGTCAACCCCAGTTTCATTCTGCTATATTCACCCACCCAGCCACCCATCCATGGCAATTCCAGCCCTCTCGGATCAGAAAGGGCAAGGGCATACTGGGGTTTAACAAGATACAAAGAATATTCAAAAATACAATTGTCCCTCTGTGCTTGTTTTTTGACTTTTGCATATTTGATTATTCATCAATTTTGTTTTAAAATGTTCTCTCTGGGAATCTCTAGGTCCACCATTGTCTCTATGTCCAACTTTCTCCAGTCATTTTGGAGGACCTGGAGATTTCTAGAGAACTGTTCTGTCAAGTTAAAAAAAATTCTTTATTGGATTTTTATTTATTTTTTTTATTTTTTTTGCTTTCAGAATTTATTACCTTGGCAAATGTGAAGAGCAGCCTTTAGCTGACTTTTTTTCCTGAACATTTAAGAACAGGAAAAATTCTGGACTGACAAGCATTTTCACAGTTCGGGACTTGTCCTGCACAAATTTGCACATGGCTGCTTTGTACAGAAAGCAGCCTTTTTGTACAGAAACAAGATTTTCTGCACAGGAGATGTGGCTAATTGTGAATTGTGTTTTGAAGCAGCATGGTTTTCAAAGAGTTTCTGACTGTGGAAAGGAAATTGCTAGGATTCCTTCGAGAAGAAATTTAATGAAGAATTGCACCCATTGTAGCAATAGGCTGGGGAAGAGAAGACAGGATCCAATCAATCTATAGACTTCACATCTCGCAACCATGTCCACAACATAGAAGCTCTGAGAATAGTCTAACATAATTTCCTCCAAATTGTTATAAAATATTTTAAAGCTCAATTGCTTGGGGTGGAGGGAATTAGTAGGATAGTTAAGGGACTGGCAGAGGCTGATACCAGCATGTTCTCTCATACAGATCTAAATTAAAATGCCAGTCCAACAACTGAAAACTCATTATACCAATTGGACATAATATAGCATCACTTCCAAAAGTTCATTGATTTAATAGACCTACTAAGGGATGTATCTGCAGCCCCTTCCACACTACTCCTATATTCCAGGATATGATCCCTTCAACTATCATGGCTCTCCTTCAACTATCAAACTATGGAATCATAGGAGTTGTAGTTTTAAAAGGCAGATAATTCTTTGTAGCAGACATATACAATAAAGGAGAATCCTATGCACGAAAAAAACCCACATCATTCACAGCTTTTGTTATGATACATCACACCTCTTTAAATGCATACACATCACACCTTTCTAAAAAGTTAATTTAGGTAAAGATCCGTGAAAGGAGAGGGGAAGCAAAACTGCGGGAAGGAGGGCAGAGAGATGGAGGGCTTCAGACTTGAAAAGAGACAAACACCTGCCTTGTCTGAACTGCTAATCCAATCGAAAAGATATGCTGAGAATGCTTAAGGCGGGTGGCATTCATTCGTCTAGTCTAGGCATGTGCTTTCAGTCAGAAACAGCAAACGGTAGGAACCCTGTAGGAAGGTCATGGACAGGCATTTGGCAGCTTGCTTCCAAACTGTGCAGTGGCATTATCTTTCAGTAATGTATTATCTTAACTATCTTGACTTCTGGGGATGGAGCAGAGAGAAAATCCTCTCCTATTCTCGCTGTTGAAAAAAATCTAGACAATCATCTAGTTTCCTGCTGATGCTGCACAATTTCTAGCGAATGGGAATTTTATATTGCAAGACTTTTTTTTACTATCTGAGTTGAAATTACTATTTTTTCCACCTGAAATAAGATGTTAAACATGGCACAAATGCTTTAAAAAGTTTCAAAATTTGAAAAAAAAACCATTATAATTTATAGTCTTGTTTTCAATATTGGGTTCATTGTTGGGTAGGATTTGGCATCACTTTAACTGTCATGGCTTAAGAACTCATGAAACTATAAACCCCAGGAATCCTTGGCATCGAGCCATGGCAGTTAAAGTGGTATCAAACTGTGTTAATCCTAGAGAGTAGAACCATTAAGTGTTTCAGCATATGCTTTCTCATCAGTGGGGAGAGAATTTGCAATGTTTTTTACTTTTCTGCTAACTATTTGTCAGTGGGAGAGGTAGACAGTCCCAGCTATATGAAAGTCTTGAAGAGCTCCACCCTTTTTTATGGGTCAGCCTCACTTCCATCAGAGGACACTTTGGAAAAATAGTTATTTAGCTAGAACAAAAAAACAACCTATTTAAGCATTTGATGCTCTTCTGTACTCTTTTTATTCCTTTATGTGCCTTTATTTATGGCTAACCTTTCAGTTGTCCTTCTTATCCCCCTGGCACACTTTATCTACCTCTCTGTCCCCAATAATTAGTCATTATTTTGTGCCCGCTAAGTGTGGCTCCATACTCATTGGTGTCTACAGCTTTGGGGAGGCATTTGTCCAGCTCTCTCCCCTCCACAAACATTCAGGCTCTTCTAATTTTGCTGGTTTCTCTCTCTTGCACTTGGCTGTTGACATATGACGAGGCATGCTTCCAGCCAGATTCAGAATCAAATGTATAGATATACACAGTTGTCATTGCTCGCTGGCAGTGCTGTCATTATTCCCTGGGACAAGTTATTCTAGCAATGATGCTCATTAGTTTCCATTTCTTTTACAAAAGCTGTCTCCAATCTATGTGGCATATGCACATTGCAAAATAAATGTACTGATATCTATTGGAACATGCAGCTATGCTTCACAGCATGTCACTTTTCCTTGTCCATTTTGGCCAAAATGTGTATTAGGGATAGCTGCTAAATGCTAATCCTGATTCATCTACCTGTCCTCACACTTTATCTGGATTTATTTTGCTGTGCTGTGCATGCTCATATAGTGTAGCTTGAAAGTGTGCAGCAGAAGCAGAGCTGCCTTGCTATTAGGCATGATTGAGAGTGCATCTGCATTGTAAACTTAATGCAGTTTGACACCACTTTGCTGGCACAGCCCAATGCTATGGAATCATGGGAGTTACTATTTTAAAATGTCTTTGCCCTCTCTGCTAAATAGTGCTGTTCACCAAACTACAAATCCCAGATTTGAGCCATGGAAACTAAAGCAGCATTAATTTTACAGAGTAGATATACCCCAAGACACCTGCCTTGGCCTACAGACTTCTATGGGGCATGTGGCTTCCCTGTGATCCCTAAGCTGCCTTGCTGTCTGCAGGGGAATATTATGCTTTCTCTTGTGCCAAAATAAGAAATCCGAGTAGCCTCTATACAATGAATTAGCACCACTTTCCCATAGTCAGGAAAATATCCAGGGTTGGCCTTTATTATAATCTCAAAAACAATTTTACTTCTGTAGCAGTGCAAATAAATCTTCATTTAAAGCATTCATATGTCATTTCTATGAAGTTCAAAGAAGTGACCTTATCTGCTTTGAACTAGGTTATCTAAGTCCACACTGCCATATAATCCAATTCAATGTGGATTAGATACAGCTGTGTGGAAGGGTATATGATTGTATACTAAATATATTGGGACATAAAACATAATTGGTCATGCAGGCTGAGTTGATATGGACTTAGTCCAACCATTTTCCCATTCATGTTCAATGGATATGATCAACACAAAAATAGTTAAAGTAGTACGAGATATTTTACATACCCAATATTGTGTACTTGGGTTTTTAAAAAATATTATTTGTAGTAGCAGGAAAAGACATGAGATTGTGTATACTAGAAGATGGTAAGCTAACTTCTGGCAGAAGGGGAAACAAAATACAAATTTCTTCATGTTTCATACTATGGCAAAATGCTGAGGAGTCCAATCAATACTTCATATTGCCTATCATTTTCTGTTCTGCTAGAGCACTATATTTCAAAGTGCCTTTTCTTTCTCGCTCTATTCAAAGTGTATTCTTTTGTTCACCAGTATGTCCCAGAGAGAAAATCTCATCGGGCCAAATGGGGACATCAAACGTATTTCCTTAGCTTTCATCCAAGGCAAGAAAATGTGCAGATATCTCAAAGGAGTGTTGGGGAGCAAGCAGTCTAGAATCAAAGGCTATTTTAATTTAGACAACTGCCAACAAACAGCATGATGACTGTATTTATTTTGGCATTCAAAAATAATGACCAAAACAAGGTAGCTGCTGAGCCTACAGTATCATTCCAAAACTGCAAACACTGTGAAACAAAACAGAAACACACAACCTAAACTAAGTTAACATGAGATTCCTTTTTCCCTGAAGTAATGTCTTCTCTGAGCACTAAGCCTGGCTTTGGCAGAGGGTGCTGATTCCTTTCTAACAGCTTCTAAAAGGCAACGGTCCAATGACCACTGAAGAGTTGTCAATGGCAAGGTCACTGCGATTTAAGGCTGAGTGACAGCTCCACTCCACCAGCAGTTCTTATGTGTGTAAGTGAGCCTTTTAAAAACTCTGTGGCTGGCAGGAAAACAGTGATAAAGCAACAGGACTCTTTAATACTGTGGAAGAGCAACCTTGGAGGGTAGCCAAGCTGGTTTGAAGCAACGAGTGCCATTGTTTCTAACAATCTTAGAGCTCATTTTCACCACCAATAATGGCATGGTTGCTGCTGCTCAGACGGCTGGCTCCTCAAGAGGAAATGTTTCTGTGATACTACCCAGTGGCACAAAAGAAACTTTGAAACCTATTGAACTAAATGGGACTGAAACCACCAATCTGCAAGATAGAAACAGCCATAGAATTGTACATTCTAGCTCTATACTAAATCTCAATGTTGTCCTGAAGGCTGTCACCTGTTCATTGTTTTAAGGAATTCTGTGAGGGAAAAAAGTCTTATTTTGCCTACTCTTTATTTCAAGAAATAGTTCCTTGCTTAGAAATCTAACCACATGCACTTCAACTACATGTGTTTATGCGTGCGTATCACACTTCTAACAAAATAGGTTCTGTATCCTCTTAAAAGGTTACACTATAATAAAATGTGACAGTCTTAGAGGTGTGACTTAAAGGTGTCAGGCAGTTTCAACTGGTTCAATAGTATGGATGGAAAGAAATGTTACTGGACCTGACAGTCTTTATGAAAATAGCACTTCCACATCTTTCAGTTGTTTTGTAAATGAATATGCACCTGGCCTTGATCACTAAAGGTGTATTGTGTATTCTTGCATGACAGAGGTAGGACTGGATAAGAGCTATAACTCTATGGGCCCTTCCATACAGCCATATAACGCAGAATACCAAGGCAGATAATCCACAATATCTGATTTGAACTGGCTTATCCGAGTCTACACTGCCATATAATCCAATTCAATGTGGATTTTCTACAGCTGTGTGGAAGGGCCCTATAATTCAGAGATTGATGAAGCTTGAATTTCTCCTTTTCCTCCTCCTCCTCCATCATCAAGTATTCACAAAACAATGTTTTCCATTTAGTATTGCAAAATCTATAACCTAGATTTACAGACCCATAACTGCTATGTATTTAGTAATACTACAGCATATACACATGCATAAGTTGACCTCATACAGTATATATGTCGAGGGCAGAGTCTGATGATAAAATTATGACTTTTGATATGAACTATGGATAAGTCATGGGTCCTTCCACAAAGAGGTGGAAACACCAATGCCTCTTCAGGGGAGCAGCCATCTCTGGGTGCTGTTGCAATTTACTCACCCAGGGATTCAATAAGGTCAGAAACAACACCATTGCAGACAGTAGAGAGCATTGGGACATGTTATCTCAAACCAGATTACACTCTTGCATTTTGCCACTCTAATCAGAGAAGGGACTGGTTCTTCTTTTTTTTAAAATAAGAGTTAAGGTACAGTACTCACGTGGAAACTACAGAGTAGTTTTTGCAGTTGGTTGACTAAATTTTTTAGTCATTCATGAGTATATAGCAGACATGGGCAAACTTCGGCCCTCCAGGTGTTTTGAACTGCAACTCCCACAATTACTAAAAGCTGATAGACTGTTAGGAATTGTGGGAGTTGTAGTCCAAAACACCTGGAAGGCTGAAGTTTGCCCATGCCTCATATATAGTGTTTACAGTCCTATTGTCAAACTAAGGGCCCTTCCACACAATATCCAAGCAGAAAATCACACAATATCTGCTTTGAGCTGGGTTATCTGAGTCCACACTCAGATTATGTGGGATTTTCTGCCTTGATATTCTGGGATAGAGCTATGTGGAAGGGCCCTCGGTAAATGCTATTGGCAGTTCAATTGCATGAAGCATTATTGCATTTATCATTTTGTATGAAGTTTCATTCAATGCACACCTCTTAAGAGACTCAGCATAAAATAATGATATTTGAATGACTTTGGAGATCAGCGTTTGAATGCCAACTCAGACCTACAACCTCATCACACGACAAGTGCCACCCCAGTTGAGCAACGGAGCCCCACACAGCCCATCACAGTGTGTAGCCTCACTTCCGGAGGTGCTCCATTTCTCAACTGGATCAGCAGCATCCTAGGATGTTGTTCCACCAACTCGGGAGCCTCCTCATGTTACATTTGGAATATTGGGGCTAACACGGTGACAAGCCACACAGCAATGCTTCCGCACATATAATGAAGAAGAGTCGTTGCCAGTCGGCCAAGGCATGTGGCACCAGGACTGCCCCACTACCTCACCGATTCACCACAGAGGTTGGCAAATCAGCACAGGGGACCTCATCAATGTGATGAGGTCCCTAGAAACTCATAGGTGACCTTAGGCAAGTCAAACTCTCTCAGTCTCAGAAGAAGGCAAAAGCAAATCCACTCAGAACAAATCTTGTCAAGAGTATTCTATGATAGCTTCACCTTAGTGTCATCATGAGTCAGAAACAACTAGAAAATATTCAAAAACATAAGTATACAGATAGCTCCTCCTCCCTCCATGTTTTTGTGTCCCATTCACAAGTAGTGAAAGGTGGTATTTTAACCAGGGAGGGATTCAAGGGTTGGGGAACACAAAATTGATCACCATAAATCAGAAACAACTTGAAGGTACACAACAACAGCAATGCTTCTAAAATCCTTTTGGTAAAGGTTGGTTACGAAAGATTTTAAAGAAATATACAAAGAAAAAGGCATAGAAATTAATACCTGAAATAATAAAATGCAGTTATTAAGACCATAATTAAAAACAAATTCTATGAAAAGTGACAGTTGAAAATATTTGATATTAAATATTTAGTTATATTAAAAAAATTCAGTTGGTCAGAAAGGTGACAGGAAGTGAGCAGGTGATTATCCACAGGGCATGGTCTCCAAAGTCCTACTGCTATAAATACAATGGCATCGTCTCTTGGCCTGACTCACTTAACAGTCAAAGACAAACAGCAGAATCACTGAATCTCTCAGGTAACTGTATTCAAAACTTTCTTAGGCCCCTTCTACATCCAGTTTATCTCCTTTGAACTGGATGAAATGGCATTGTAGACTCATATAATCCAGTTCAAAGCTGATAATGTAGTTTTAAAATGAGCCCAGGATTTTTTAAAAAAATAGGTGGCTTAGTTGTTTCATCACTGGGCTATGATTAAGGCTGCATCTACACTGCCCTATATCACAGGATCTGATCCCAGATTATCTGATTATCCCAGATTATCTGGCAGTGTAGACTCATATAATCCAGTTCAATGCAGATAACCTGGGATCAGATCCTGTGATATAGAGCAGTGTAGATCCAGCCTATGAAATCTGGGTTTGAATCCCCTGTTGGCCAAGACAGGGTGATCCTGGGCAACTCACACACTCTCAGCCCAGCATCTGCTGTTATAAGGTCACCTTCAGGCCAACGGAAGTCAGAAATGATTTGAAGGCACATAATACACACAAGCAGTGAAACTGGAGGATAACCAGAATTAGGTGCCAGAGAGAATTTAAGCTACCACATTTCAGATCAACTCAAGTGAAAACTCATAATTGTGTTCTTTCTGCTGCACAATATGTGTTAAAGGAAATGGTTTTGGGTTTTTTTTTTTTTTGGTTTTTTACTAGGAATTTTGAGCTAAGCAGGGACTGACATGGGCAGAAGCATACTCAGAAACCAGACAGGCAGCAAATAAATGAGTAAGCAGCCTATATTCAGGTCACTGGGTGCACAGAATATGGTATATTCTACATCAGACATGGGCAAACTTAGGCCCTCCAGGTGTTTTGGACTTCAACTTCCACAATTCCTAACAACCTACCAGCTGTTAGGAATTGTGGGCATTGAAGTCGAGAACACCATGCCTGTTTTCCATGAACGCTGTTGAGCAGGCAACTGGAGTGTCACTTCTCTGTTCATCTGCAGTAGTACAGTTACACAACAGAGATTCAGTTAAGGAATTCTTACTCTAGCTGTGACTAAGACAGCACAGGGACTGTACATGGCAACATATATGGGCAGTTTTGCTTCACGTCATCTTCTGACACACTAAAAGTAAAATTTTCCAGGTTCAGAAAAGAAATACCAAACATGTAAAAAGAACCTTACTAGATCAGACCAAAGATCTATCTAGGTCTATCTACAACTCCCAGAAATCCCAGCCAGTTTACCAGCTGTTAGGATTTCTGGGAGTTGAAGGCCAAAAACATCTGGGGACCCCAGGTTGAGAACCACTGGTCTAGAGTTTGGGAATGCTATTTTGGAGATAACATCTTCCAGAATCCTTCAGCCAGTTTAGTCAGGCTCCAGAAATGAGGATTTCAACGCATACATTCAAGTTGTGATCTAGTTCATCATTCAGTTCCCATAGTGATCAAATATGCCCATAGATAGTACTAGCACCTAAAGATGTCCCCATGTGTATTTTCAGGAACTGGTATTTTGAGCCACAGCATAAATAGCCATTGTGATTAATACCTATTAATAATTTTATTTTCCATGAAATTGTCAAATAACCTTTTAAAACTAACCAGCTTCATGATCATGTCTATAACATTCTATAAACTGAAAGTTTACAGAAACATTTTTTTAAAAAAAAGGTAATAAACATAGGCTGTCATCATACAGATGTACACAAACAAATAAACTCACCTGGGTACAATTGTTTGGTTGGGGCACTGAGTTGTGCATGTTTTGAAACTCGGTAGGCAACATCTGATCCTTTGGAATTCCTTCTGTTTGTGCAAAATCCTGCTGTTTTTGAAACTCCTTCTGGCGAATTATGAAACTCTAATGCTTTGAGCACATCAACTGCTTCAGCTGAAAAACAAAAGAATGTGTATCTGTAATTTACACTTCTTCCAAAATATTATCCCCCTTTTTAAAAACCGGAACTGCTATACTTCATAGCTTTTACAGTTCATATAATTTTGTTTACCACTGGCAAATGTTCTCATGGTTAAAATCCTACTAATAATGATCCATTCCCTTTTCACAGGAGACAACTGGGGCATGAGTGGCCAAGCAACATATGAGTATGGTCAAGAAGGCAAAACTTATTAATAAGAAAGAAAACATAAATCAGGAGCAGATGTAGCAGTTTGTTTTTGCCAATGCCTACTGGGGAACACAAGATTCCAGCCCCTTCTGTCCTGTCTCCCCTGCTGAATCAGCTGAATCTATTTGATTGTATTTGCAGCCATTGCAGTAAGATGAGGAAAATAAGGTAAGTGGAAAGAGGACTGAGAAAATGAGACATTTTAATAGCAGCTGAAAATTGGATAGCAGAACATTAATTGGGACTGAACCTGCCATATTGGAGCAATTGGGGGATAGGGTGACCAAAGGAGGAGTTAACTCTAGACTTTACAGGTCCTAAGGCACTATGATTCTACTTTAGCTGTTTTCCTGGTTGTCTAATTCCTGTTTGTTGCCATATGACTGAGAAAGGAAGCTTGGGAGAAGCAAAAGGGGGCTCTCCCTTCCTAAGCTGTTTTACTGTTACATGGCAGCAACCAAGAAGTAAATATCCAGAGGAGCAGTTACATTGCTTTTTTTTCTATCTTGGGTGGGGGATTGGGGTGCTGGGAGGTGTAAACTGGCCTCATTCCCAGCTATGCCAAACTGGTTGGGGGTACTGTCCTGCCATCGAGGCAGTTGTCATACACATAATCAAATCATGACTTGGGTTCAAGGAAACATTCTTATTTTCAGCTTCAAAGTTTAATTCAGTTCTCCACATGCCTTCTTTTGAAGAAAGTCAACTTGCTTTAAGTGGATTTTTATCTTGCCACCGAACTGCCAAATTTTGGCAGCAGCTTTTGTGATGGACTGGGAGATGGCAATAGAATATTCTGGTTCCAGTTGTAACATGATACCCTCTCCTATTTTAAAAGGATGATCCTTAATCTAGATTATTGTAATATGGTGCAGACCCAGATAGACACCCAACTCCCTTTTAAGCACTCCATCTGCTACAGACTTCAGCTATCAAAGTTCTGCAATGACCTTTGGCTTTGGCAGAATGTCAGGAACCCAGAGCAGTGTGAAGTCTGGGCCTCAAAGAAGTTAAGTAATTTCCTACATTCACCTCTGCCTCACACTTTGCTAGTTCTTTCAAAGCAGATGTTTTTACACCAAAGGCATTCACCAGGAGCAACTCACTGCAGGAAAAAAGGTTTTGTTGCTGGGGCTCAGAAAAGGGAAACCATCAAAGGCCAAATCTAAAACAAAATGGGGAGGCTTTCGAAGCTGCATCCATGGTGGCATGGCCACAACAGAATAAAACTTGGTATGATTTGGAGTCAGGAGTAAAGAACATGTATGACTGCCATGTCTTGCACAAATTACTAACTTGAGAAATGGTGAGGAAAATATCTGATTCCTATCTACCAACTAGGAGTACAGAAGATATATGTACAGCTTGCCCTCCATATCCACAGATTCTATATCCAAAGGACTCAAACATTTATTGATTGAAAATAGTTCAATAACAAAAAATCAAAAAGGAAATCTTGATTTTGCCATTTTAATATGTGATACCATTTTCCTACGGAACTTGAGCATCCATATACATGAGGGCTCCTGGAATGGAACTCCAGCAGATACTGAAGGCCCACTCTATTAATTTTCTTTCTACATATCAAATGTATCCAGCTTATGGTCTGAGAAGTGATTCCCAAATGTGTGTGTTTACCTCTCATGTTTTCCTTATTGGGAAAATCTGCTTTCCCCTCTCTTTTTTAAATTTTTTACTCAAATGCACACAGCTCAAACTATGTGTCTCTGAAACCTTACATTAACCTACTTTAGAAAAGAGGATATAACCATATATTTATTAATTAAAAATATGCATAACATAGTCACATTATAAAGAGGGTATACCAAAATACACATCCGTTTCCATTCAATGGAAGACACTAGAATTTTGTAATCGATACAAATGTGCCTATACAGTGGAGAATTCTATTTGCATAATGGCCAGCCAGGTCCTCAGCTTCTTGCATTAGAAGTAATATACATCCATCATGACAAATAGCAACTGATAGTATGATTCTCTATTAACATAGACAGTTAATAAGATGATGAATTGCAGTTTTGACTAATTTTGGCAAATGATTCAGGCCAAGTACAATAAAATCAGCAAATCAAACCAAGGATCAGTCTACATTGGTCACAGAAATTGCTATTTCACAGGGGCATCAATGGCATAGAACCATAGCAGAAAACAAATGTGGGTAAAGTACAACACTCCCAAAGCCCTATGAAAATGAATTTCAGTAGAAAATAATTCAGAAAAACTAAGAAAGAATGCATATCTGATTTTCTTAAAACGCCTTCATGTTTGCTGCAAAACCCAAATGAAGCCCCAATTGTTGCACCTGTAAGTAACTTCTCGTGTTTTCAACCAAGTTTCAGGAAAAGAAAGCACTACAGCCTAAACTGGTGGGCAGGAATGAAAATTCACCCCAATCTCTACTGCAGTTGTGCTTCCCCAGGATAAAGCAACTCTAAGAGTATGGGTATGGCTAATATACACACATACCAGAAAAATCTCGTGTTAGGAACCAACGGCCCTTCTACACGGGCCCTGAAATACGAGACAAACTGGGCTAAATGATGCTTGCTGAAAATGTGCACTGAACTGCATCAATGGCTGAAAAACGCGGGTTAAAAGGATGCCCTTAAAATCTGAGGTCAGCTGAAAAACGTGTACATGCGCATCACTGTATATCCCTGAATTCAAGAAAAGCATGGGACTTTATTGTGACATGATGGTGTGGACTGCCCCAGTACATGTGCACATTTTAAAATCCTTAATGAGCTGATGAGGACTGTAAACAGATGGAGCCAAGGACACACAGGTAGTTAAATAGAAGCACAAATGGAAAGCAATTCCCATGAGAACACTCTGCAACCATTCCTTTGCTCTCATATTTATGAAATTAAATAGAGCCTGAATTTATCCAGTGGGCACCAGCACGGCAGGAAAATGACCTCAAAGGAAAGTGGGGTTCAAGAGGGCAAACATAAAGGTAACAAGAGAGTAAGGAGAGATAATGACAAGAAATCTGCTTGTGTGAGTGTTTATATATCCACATCACGACTTATGAGGACCAGTGCATCTTGAAACATCAATAAAAAAATTAAAAATAAAACTTCCGCCAGATGTTCCGCATCCATTTTGCAGGTTTCTAAAATCTGCTACAACTGAACCTGTTAGGACACCAAGTGACTATTTGCTAGGACTGACAGCTCCATGTTTGGACTTTCTTTCAGGTGTCATGTTTTTTTAAACCCACTTCTTTGTCTCGCTTTAAGTGGCTACTCTGGAAGGCCCTGATAGGGATTTAATTCTTCACTAGGTTTCTTCTCAAAGCAATGAGTAACTTCAAAAATGTTCTTCTCACTTTAAGAAAGTCTTCAAAACCACTCCATTTTCAAAGGCAATCAAATTTCTCCTATGCAAACCTTTCCATAAAAGAGACAGCATCTCTTTCATGAAAAATAATATTCCAAATTAGAAATATTAATTTCGGTGCAGAAAAGGCTAGTTTCTATGCAAATAAACTATGTGTGAATTGTACACACTACACAAAACAAATCTCCAATTAAGTCATTTTTCACACAGAAACTAATATTCTTGCAGTGAAATATTATTTTTCATATAGAAAATGTTTCCTGTGCAGAAAATGCTATTTTCTGGGCAAATCAGCGCCATGCAAATTTTACATAGAAAAACTCTTTAACTACGAAGATTCTGATCTGTCCAAGATTCCTTCCATCAGGGTTTTTCTCAATACTCAAAATTACGTTTTTCAGCAATTTTCCAAATGTTTCCAAGTATTCTTTCAATCCCTACACAGTGAATATTGTGTTGTTTCTAAAAGACTAAACAACGCATCGGATTATCTTCTCCCCTTTATGCTCCTAATACTGGTTTTGACTTTAAATCTTTTCTCCCTACCAACCCTAATCAACTATCAAGAGAAAGATTAAATCTTACTATCTGCCCTTATCTTTCTACTGAGACAGCTAACACTCTTCCTCACTGCCTTGTCACTGAATTGCAGTTCATAATTTTTCATATTGATCATTATAACACTTCCAGATTTACTATGGTTTATCTTGTTACTTAAAAAAATCTAGCTGGTTCAAAATTCTTCCTTTTTGCAGTCATCTAATCAATTCTGAATATTTGTGTGATCATTTTTATGTTGTACACTGGGCCTCTCTCATCAAATAGGTTCAGTATTTCTTATTTCAAACATTCTTTTTCTCTAGTTCTTCGTGTTGTTTCTTGCTTTTTTCCACTGCTCCAGTAATCATTCTCACTAAACTGAATCTTCATCCTCTAGTCACAACTTTCTGTTCTTTACTATTCCGTGCTCCTTGATCTTGTTCCAACTCTAAGTACACTAGCCTATGCGTGTTTATTCAAGAGAAAAAAATCATTGGCTTCAAAGGAACTTACTAGTATTACTTTTTATCTATTTGATTGTATCTACATCTGCTTTTCTCTCTAAGGAGGCTCACAACTTGACTAAAAAAAGATGCAGCTAGAAACATAATGGCTGAAATTGGGCCTCAAGAGTCATAAGTGGCTCACACAGATATGTCTCCATATCTATATTTCCTGATGCTGTCACCCCCAAAACCCACCTCAGGCTATGACACATCCATTTCTGGATACTCAGTCATGCTCTTTTAACAGGATGCTTTGTGATATGTCTCTGCAATTGATTGTCCCTATTGCATATCCAAATGAAGGAAACAAATGAATATGTCATTACTGATCTCCCTTCTTTCCAGCAACTTGT